AAACACACACACACACACACACAACACTGACATGCACACTGATACACACACACACACACGCACACGCATGCACACACACACACACACTCACACACACTCACTGACACACACGCACACACACACACACTGACATGCACACTGATACACACACACACACGCACACACACACACACACACAATCGCACATCTACACCCACGGCCTTGCCAGGTTGAGAAGCGAGGGTCGATGGTGAGTCACGAGCCGACAACCCCCGCGCCATCGCCGCCGCAGCCGCAGGAGACGGACGCGCCGTTGACTGTGCTGTCACCAGCCATTGTGGACTTTGGGTCGTGCCCTGCCGGCTCAAAGAAGAAGGTGGCGGGTATCGCGCCGCAGGTCATCAGCGTCCAGAACACGGCGCAGGCCGACGTGGAGGTCGTCTGGCCAGACCTAAACGCGTTTGGGTACCCGTTTTCCATCCAGCCACAAACGGCCACAATTGCCCCGGAGGAAACAGCCAGTTTCCAGATTGTGTTCCGCCCCGTGCACACGGGCCAGCAGTACAACTGCACGGTGGAGGGTGTGGTGAACTTTGCGGAGAGCATTCGCACAGACGACGGCGCGCTCATGAACCACCCGTGGACCATCATGGCGCACATCATGGGCAACACGCACCAGAGCGACGCGGAGACTGAGGCGTTACCGGCGTTTGAGGTTCACCCAACCGCTGTGGCGCTCCCGCCAACCAGCCCCAACCAGCCATCATACGGCACGGTGGAGCTGAGCAACCCCTCGGATGCCCCACTTGTCGTGCTGCTGACACCGCCATCGCACCAGCACAGCGACACGATGACACTTCGCCCCACGACGCGGCGCCACCTGCTGCTGCCGCGCCAGGTTCGGCTGGCCTCCTTTGCTGCGATCCCAACCAAGGCCGACTTCATGGAGAGCGTGCTGTGCGTGTCGATGGTCAACAGCAGCGATGAGCGGGAGATGGAGGACACCACCAACGTGCGCGTGAGTGTGTCGAGTGTGACCCCATCGCTCCGCTTCAGCACAGACATGCTCAACCTTGGCATTGTCCCCGTTGGCCACGACCTGCGGCGGTCTGTGCGCCTGCGCAACACGTGTGCGCTGTCGTGCTTCTATGAGCTGCGGTGCAGTGCCCGCAATGGCGGCGTCGTTCAACTCGTCACCACTGGCGGACTGCTCGAGGTCTTGTTTATGTTGATGTTGATGTTGATGTTGATGTTGATGTTGATGTTGGTGTTGATGTTGTTGTGGGGGGGGGGAGGAGGGGAAGGAAGGAGGGAGTGATGCGTCATGGTTCCGTTGCATGACTTTGTTGTTGTTTAAAGTTGTTGTTTAAGTTGTTGTTGTTGTGTGCGTGTGTGCCTGGTGGCGCGTGATCTACTTTCAAATCTGTGTGTTTGCTTCATCACTCAGCCTCACCACACGCAAATCCCGCATTTGAACCACGCTCACACTCCCCCCCCCCCTCGTCCATCACTCACTCCTTTTCACAGCCCAACGACGAGCAAGACATTGCTGTTGTTGTGTCTGCGCAGGACAGCGGCTACAGGGAGGAGACCATCACCCTGCGCTACGGCAGCGTGAAGGGCCAGCACCAGCACGAGCTGCGCCTCCCAATTGCACTCACTGCTGAGTTTCCGCTGTTGCAAGGGCACATGCGCACCGCTGATGGCGCATGTGTTGAAGCCGCAGCCAGCGGTGGCAGCAGCAATCAGGATGGCGACGCAGCGCAGCAGCAGCAGAAGCAGCAGCAGCAGCGGGAGTCGAGGACTACACCGACACCCTCGCCTGACAACATGGATGGAGAAGCAGGCATCAACGCTGTCAGCACTTTTGACATTGGCACACTTGTCGTTGGAGAGACGAAACGGGTGGAGGTGGTGTTGACCAACGTGTCGAGCGTCACAGCGCACTGTCAGCTCGAACACAACATCGGCTCAATCGCTGCCCTCAGCGAACACATGGTGCGTCGCGTATTTATGCGCGTGTGCGTGTGTTGTGAATTAGCAAAGTGCTTTCTCTGTCTCTGTGTATCTATCCATCTTCTCCTCTCGGCACCCTTCCCCTCCTTCCCCAAACCTTCACCCTATTCCTCTCCCTCTCTCCCTCTGTCTCACTCTCTTACACCCTTCCACCTTACCCCTGCTCCCTGCCATCACCCCCTCCACTCCCGCACACACACACACACACACACACACACACACACACACACACACACACACACACACACACACACACACACACACACACACACACATATACACCAACATCACCAGGTGACGCTGCCACCGCGGTGCAACAAGAGCGTGTGGATGTCGATAACGCCGCGCCACGAGGGCGAGGACATGTTCATGCTCACGGCCGATGCGCTGGATGCAGACGGCGTTGTGCTGGCGTCCCACCCGGTCGTGGCCGGCCTGTATCGTGGCATCCGTGCAAAGCTGATTGTGTCTGACGTGCGGTCCGAGCACTGCGGACCGCTTGCACTGCGGGCGCAGCTGAGCATTGATGGTGTGAACGCAGCGCTCGCCCCCATTGGCAACCGTACGCCGCCAGAGACAGAGTTCAACCTCGACCTAGGCTGCCGTGCGCACCTCACCAGCGACACGGTCGTGACGCTGCAACTGCGCAACTGCAGCGGGTGCGTGTGCCGGTGGAAGGCGCTGTTGCCGCGCGACCACACGTGGAGCGAGGCTGGCTGGGCAGCGGAGGAGCCGCTCGAGGTCACCATGCGCAAGGCAGGACGCGCCACGTCACACGTGTCGGCATCGACCGCTGCAGCCGGCGGCGGTCGCAGTCACGGCGGTAGTGGTGGTGACCGCCATAGTGATGATGACAGCTTGTTTGAGGTTGAGCCACGGCGTGGGGAGCTGGCGGCGGGTGCAACGTGCCTGGTGACGCTTCGCTACCGCCACGATCACGTGGGCGACCACGTTGTGCCGCTCATCCTGAAGCAAGACCTGACCCCAACCACGCTGCGGCTGAACCTTTGTGGACAGACCCTGCCTTCAGGCACGCCGCATCTCGTTGTCCATCCGCAGGCGACGTGGACCCTGCACCCGGTCTCCATTGGCATGCACAACCCGCCACAGCAGTTTATGCGCCTGTACAACCCGAGCGACGTGGCTGCGGCGTTCCGTGTGGATGTAGCGGCGCTCGAGGCGCTGGCCGCAGCCAACTATGGCGTGGAGGTCTTCCACTGCAACACGCTGAGCGGGCGCGTTGGTGCTGGGGAGAGCATGGATGTGTCGTGGGTGTTTCGCCCCATTGAGGCGCGCGAGTACCAGGTGACGGTGGCGGTGCATGTGGACGGGATGGCGGACAGCCCCGTGCTCATCACACTGCGCGGAGAGGGCGTTGATCCGCGCCAGGAGCAGGAGCAGCGCGCACTGCAGGAGACAATTGGCGGCAGCGGCAGCGCCACCGACCAGGGCGGAGCGACGGACGCGTTTGGTGATGGATTGGCGCTGCCTGCATCCAGCCCCAACACTGGTGCTGGCGGTGCTGGCGGTGGTGGTGATGATGACATGGAGCAAGAGCAGCAGCGCCGCACACGCGAAGTGCCGATGAGTCAACAGTTCCTTCTTCCCGGCCAGCCCGCCGTTGTGTCCTCGGATGTGCTTGACTTTGGGACGCTGTGCCTGCATGCATTGTCCCGGCGGGTGCTGTTTCTGCGGAGTTGCACGGACCGCGTTGTGTCCTTCGCCTTCTCGCTGGGCAGTCTGAGCAATGCGCTGAGCGTTGAGCCGCAGTCTGGGCTGCTGCATCCACACGAGGTGCAGGTGTGCAAGGTGACGCTGCGTGCGGGTGGACTTGCCAGCCGGTATGACCAGGACATTCGTTGCACATTCCGCGACCACGAGGGCGAGCAGGCGTACATCGCGCACATGCGCGAGAACGAACAGCGGGAGAAGGAGGCGGAGGATCTGTTTACATACACGGACGCGTATCGCATTGGGCGCGGTCGCTCCGGTGCAGTGCGGGCACCACGCAACACCGCCAGCGGCACAACCAGGACCATCGTGTCCACCCGCACCAGCACCGACGCAGGGTCTGTCGTTGTCGACGCCACTGCCTTTTCCCACAAGGTGCTTGACCCAGGCCCTGCCCCCACCCTCTCCAACACGCTGTCGCGCTCGCTACGTGACTCGAGTAGGCCACCCTCTGGCTCTGTTCGTCTGCAGCCCGTGGTTGGTGCCCGCAAGGTCGCTGTCTCAGACACAGACCTCCGCTCATCAAAATACCAGGTGCGCCGTTTGTATGCGTGTTTTGCATCTGTGTTTGCGTGTTTTGTGTGTGTGTGTGTGTGTGTTTGGCATGTGCTTGTTTTGTGTGTGTGTGTGCGTGTGTGTTTTGCATCTGTGTTTGGCATGTGCTTGTTTGTGTGTGTGTGTGTGTGTGCATATGCGTGAGTCAGTGTTTGTGTGTAAGTCAGTGTGTTTGCTTGCTGTGTATCAGTTAACATGACCTCCACTGTACTTGCGTTTGCCACTTTGTTATTTTGTTTCCTCTTTGCGTCGCTCACATGCCTGGGCAACTGATGTGTTTTCAGACTCTGCCGCCGATCAAGGTGAAGGAACAGCCACGCCTGTCCACCCCTCCACCGCCCGCGCACCCGTTTGATCTGTTTGTGCGCGTGCGCTGCGAGCTGCTGTGCCGCCACGACATGCCCGCCACCCGCGTCAAGAGCATGTTTGTCGACCAGTCTGTTGTGGAGACGACGGCGAGCACAGGCAGCGATGGCAGCGATGAAATGGCGACGCTCAAAGCGATGGCAGATGTGGATGACCACGTGCAGTCCGCAGCAGATGTCCTCATGCTGATGCTTCGCGAGGCAACGAGCGAGGCAACCTTCCTTGACGCTCTCAACACAACAGCCGACGAAGCACCGCCAAGCTTCCTCTCCATTCGCGCGTCAGCAGCGTCCCACCAGTCATCCTCGTCGTCATCCTCGTCGTCATCATCATCGCCCCAGCTGCAAGCGTCGCAGGATGTGGGTGATGGCGAGGTGCGCCCGTCGGAGGTGGCGTTTGTTGAGCGCATCTTGGACGAGACCTTGTGCAATCTCTTGCTGGAGCTCGAGGAAGACGAGGCGAGTGATGATGCTGACGATGGTGAAGGTGGTGGTGCTGGTGATGATGGTGAGGACAGGAGGTGATGGTGAAGGTGGTGGTGCTGGTGATGATGGTGAGGACAGGAGGTGATGGTGGTGGTGGTGGGTGATACGACCGGCTTGCAGCAGCTGCTTTGTCCGTGCTGTGGTTTTGTGTGAAGTGAGGGCTTTGTTGCTGTTGACTGTACACATGGGTGACTGGCGTGTCTCGCTCGGCTTACGTTGTGTTGAGTGTGATGAAGATGATTATATGTCAGTGGAGGGCGTGTTGTCATTCAATGTCATGAGTGAACTGAGCAATAATGAGAATGAAAACAACACCACCAGGAGGCAACACACAAGCGAGCCAGAGCAACAGGAATAACACACTTGGATTGTACGACAAAAGAACCAAAAAAAAAAAAAAAGGGCAACAGAAACCACGGAGCGACCTAAGCCCGAACCAATGCACAGACAAGAAAAGACAGACAAACAGAGAGACACAGACACAGACACACACACACACACACACACAGACAGACAGACAGACAGACACACACACATACACACAAAACAGAGTACAAATTGGGCAGAGAAGAGGCTAGCAGCGTCCAATCGCGGACAGGAAGGCAGAAGAAACGCAAAGCAACCGCATGATCAAAACAAGACGCAGGGAACGTAGGATGTGACAGCAGCAACGGATGACATCAGCCTAACACAAGGAAGATAGAGCAAGAGGAGGGGTGGGGATGGCAGCAGAGCCACTGGTGACACATGCGCGGGCACGTGAGGACGTGTCAATACGGGTGCCGGCAGATGGAGATGCTGCCTCTGCTTAACTCGGGACATGACGCGACCCGATTCAACCTTAACGCCAGGCACCACCACGGGGACGCTGCCCCTGCTGCTGTTGCTGCTGTGGCCGGCGCTGGGAGTCGCCATCACGCCAGCCGCCACCAAACCCACCGCTGTCACCGCCGCGGCGATCACGGTCATCAAAGCGGCCGCCACCACGGCCATCACGATCGAAGCGGTTGCGGCCACCAAACCCACCACTGTCACCGCTGCGGCGATCACCATCATCACGCCAGCCGCCGCCACGACCACCAACCCTGTCGCTGTCACCGCTGCGGCGCTCACGATCATCATAACCGCTGCCACCACCGCGGCCACCAAACCTGTCGCCATCACCATCATCACGCCAGCCGCCGCCACGGCCGCCAACCCTGTCGCTGTCACCGCTGCGGCGATCACGATCATCAAAACCGCTGCCACCACGGCGTTCGCTCTCAGCAGGCTGTCTGCGACTTGGTTCCCACCTGTCGCCGCCAAACCCACCGCGGGTGTCGTCGCTGCGGGAAGAGCGGTTGTCGCTCAGGGTGGCGGGGGCAGCGCCGCGCGGGGGGCGGTACACGTTCTTCTCCTGGGCAGGAGCAGGCTGGGTCGGGGTGGTGGCACCCGTGGACGAGGAGGAGGTGGCGGGCGGAGTGGACGTGCTGCCCTTCTTGGTCTTCTTCTGGGCCTTCTTCTCCTCTTCCTCCTTCATGGCGTCGCCGAGCGAGGGGAATGCAATGGTCGACTCGAGAGCAACGTCCTCCACGCGTGGCAGCATTCCCCCGGGGGCGTTGACCATCCCGCGCTGGGAGGGCGGCACGTACTTGCTCGCCACAGGCGCTGGGCCGTGCGCCGCGCGCAGCTTGTCAAGCAGGTGCTTCTGCTCCCCTCTGGTGGTGTTTACGACGCGGTGGTGGTGGTGGTGGTGGGGGATGGTGGTATGGTTGGGAGGAGGAGGGGGTGTTTATGATGTGGTCGTGGTGGAGGATGCAGTTGTGGTGAGTTGAAAGCGAGGGCGCGCACACAGGCAACAAACCAAACAAAGATGCAGTGGAGCAAAGAGCACAAGAACAAGAAACAGAAGACCAAGAACAAGAACAATTTCATGTAGGCATCATCAGCTTACGTGATTGTGTATTCCTCTGTGGAGTTGACAGCTGTGAACTTGATCTCGGGGAAAGCGCTCTCAAACTGGTGCAGGAACGTGTTTGGCCGTGCGCCGAGGTGCTGGTACGCGCCCTGGTCACGGTACGCAACAATCGTCACAGCCCTGTTGGCATCACATCACACCAACGACGAGATCGCGCGAATGGGAGGTGAGTTGATTGAAGTGGTTGAGTACGTGTGCATGAGAAGCATGAAAAAAAAAAAAAAAGCACGCGCATGTTTTCTGTGTCAATGTCTCTGTCTCTCTGTCTGTCTATGTGTGTTGCTGTGCATGGGTGGCTGGCGACTGACTTGAGCTGCGGCAGCTCCTTGATGGTGAGACGGAGGAAGCGCTCGTGGAACTTGACGCGGTCCAGCACCAGCCGCTGCAGCGACTTGAACGGCATGATGTTCTGCAGCTTGATGGGCGCGCGCGGCTCCTCGGCGGCAATCCAGCCAATCACCACAAGCTCTTCAAGTGCAGGCAGCAGCGATGCAAGCTGCTCCACTTGCTCCTCCCGAAGAGGGATTGAGTCGAGCGTCAGCGACGTCACGCCGCTCACGGCCTCGCCTGTGGTGCAGCGGAGGAGGTGCGGTGGACAGCAGTGGTGAGGAAAGGGTGTGCGTGCAAAGGGAAGTTGGGGGGGGGGGGTCTCAGGAAAAAGAGTTGCGGTGTTCAAGCGAAATCGCACACAGCAGCAACGTGTGTGCAACAAAGCGCCACAACTTATCCATATGCACACACACACACAAGAGCATGCATGCACACACACACACACACACACACACACACAAGAGCATGCATGCACACGCACACACACACACACACACACACACACAAGAGCACGCATGCACGCGTCCAGAACAAGTTGCAGCGTACCAAATGCCTTGAGCGTCTGCTCGTTGAGGGTCATGCGGTGGGAGGCGTTGAGGTAGTGTGCAAGGTCGTCGTTGAAGAAGCGTGTGCCGACGAGAGCAACCGCTTTCAAGCCGTGCTTCTTCATCACCTCAAACACGTTCTTCGGCTCCTTGGGCTCCTCCTTGGCCTCCTCCTTAGGCTCCTCGCCCTCCTCAGACGTGGCAGGGGCGCTCTGCTCCAAAAGCGTGTTGAGGTCGCCTTGGGTGATGGGAACAGGGACGGTGTTCCACTCGTCTGGCTTGCGATACGCGGCCAGAAACTGCCGGCACGCCTTGGAGGCCACCGACAGCTCACGCACGCGCTACGATGACAGCAAAGAAAACAACAGCGAGATTGGCCAAGAGCACGGTGGTGAGTGCGACCAAAGCAAGACACATGGCACAAGGGTGATCAATCCGCCAGAGTAACCGACAGCTTGCACCGCCATACTCCCCCACACACCCACACCCACACCCACACCCACACATGTCGACGTGCCAGCAACGCAAGCAGGGGACACGAAGAACAACGCAAGCAGGGGACAAACACATCAAGCAGACACAGGGGTGTGTGTTTGAGAGGTTGCATACCTGCATGTATTCTGTGAGATCGTCCAGAGGGGAGTCAACCAGCTTGGGCCCCTCGGGTTCCTTGGGCTCTTCCTCGGGCTGGGCTTCCTCTGCAACAGCAGGCTTGGCCTCCTCCTCGGGCTGCTCGGCGCCAAGCGGGCGGCTCTCAGGCACGACGACTTGCTCCGGCTTGCTGGCAGCCACCTTGCGGTAGTTGATGGAGGCAGAAGTGGGCTTCTTCTCGCCTGCAGCCTCTGCGGGTGGCTCGTCTTGCTGCTGCTGCTGCTGTTGCTGTTGCTGCTCCTGCTCCTGCTCGGTCTTGGTTGGCTCCGGGGTTGGCGTTGTTGTCGACTTGGAAGCCGACTTCTTCTTCTTGATGACGCGGACGGCGCCCGTGGGCTTTCCACGACCAGCGGCTGTGGAACGGCGCGCACCCGCGCGTCCTCGCCCGCCTCGTGCGGAGCTCGCTCTCAGCTGCGCAAGCGCAGCGTTTGGGGTCGACATGGTTGAAGCTATGAAGAAAGGGATGAAGGTGTGTGTGTCTCGCGTCTCGTGTGCGTGTCTCGTGTGTCTCGTGTGTGTCGTTGAATGTGAATTGTGGATCGTGCGACAAATGGCGGGTCCACGAAACACACGTGTGATCGACAATTATTTATATCATCCACAATAATTCTACATGCAACTGAATCCAGTCGTTGTTGTGTTGTGTTGTGTGTGTGTGAGTGTGTGCGTGGGTGTGTGTTGTGTGTGTGTGTGTGTGCGTGTGTGTTGTGTTGTGTGTGTGTGTGTGTGAGTGTGCGTGTGTGTGAGTGTGTGTTGTGTTGTGTTGTGTTGTGTTCGAGGTAGCAGCTTGGTTGTTTGCTAGCTTTGACGATCCGGCGTGAAGCGCTGTACAAGCGCATGGCAGAGAGGATTGTGCGTGTGTCGTGGCGTGATGGGGGTTTGTTTGTTGGTCAAACGTGAGGCCAAAGAGGCAAGGAAGGAGGGCAAAGACTGTTTGTTCTGCACCAAAGATTGACAAGCCAAAAGTCAGCAAGGAAGACAAGCAAAGCAAGGAGGTTTCGTGTCTTTGACTCACGCGCATGATGGCGTTCCACGTTAATCGTCTCGGAGGTCCGAGCCGGCGCACAACAGAGCCATCTGTATCCACAAACTTCTTCATGTCTTCCAACGATTTGCCTTCGTGTGCAACGAGGCAGCAGCCATGACAATCCATCCACATCATGAGCACATTCATGGCAGCACACGCACCACAAGGGTCACAGCTGCTGTCCAACACACACACACACACACACACACATACACACACACACGTATGGAAGCAGCGCGCACAGAGAGCCCAGATAACAGATGCCAAGAACAGGGAGACGCACAAGCCAGCACACAGGAACAGGCCAACAGCCAAAGTGCATGTTTGCACGTTTGCATGTTTGGACGTGTGCGTGTGTGCTTGCTTACCTAGCACCTCCAACTGGACTTGGAAGTTGTCGTTTTCAATCTTGGTCGTGCATTGCAGGACAGAGAGCTGCTTGAGTTCCTTCTCCATCGCCTCAACACGAAGCCGCGCCACCACGATGCTGTCCCATATTTGGGGTTGAAGATGAAGATGGCGGTTTAGGGAGTGGAGGGAGAAAGAGGTTTGGTGAGCGCGATATGAGCGTGTGTGTATGTGTGTGAAGTGCGTGAGCGTGTGAGCGTGTGAGCGTGTGTGTATGTGTGTATTTGTGTTAAGGCGCAACAAGCCGCTTGGTTGTCGCACCTCATCTGCAGTCGTGCTCGCTCGCGTCGATGCTCCGCCTTCAATGCATCCAACTGCAGCCACATGCGGTGAACCATACAGTGGAGACGGTGTGGTGGTGGTCAACATGGGTGTACAACATGGTGAGCAAGCAGCCATGGAGCCATGGGCAAGGTAATGTAAGTGGATGATGAGCATGGAACCTAGGAGGGATACACGCAACCGGCAACAGCTTGCAGTCACACACAAGCAAGCACGCACAGATCACATGCACGCATGCACACAAGTAAGTACAGAGCACATGCACACATGCACACAAGTAAGCACAGAGCACATGCACACATGCACACAAGTAAGCACAGAGCACATGCACACATGCACACACACACACACACACACACACACATGCACAAAGAACAAAGCCGACCACCACACCTTGTGTTCAACAGCGAGGTCAAATGCAACTGGTTTTGCTGGGTCCTCTGCCGCCATCAGTGCAGCACCAACGTCACCACTTTCATCCTCATCACCACCATCCCCACCACCACCCTGTCTGTAACTGTTGTTGTCAGCGCGTCTGCTGTCACCGTGCTGCTGTGCCTGTAATGCCTCGTCGAGCCTGTCGCGAAGCCGCCTGTTCTCCTCTTGCACCTCCTTCAGCGTGTCGGCCGCAAACCGAAGCTCCTCAGCCTCGGCCTGATGTGATTGGGGGACGGGGGTTGTGAATCAAGGGTTGAGGGTTGTGAACGATTGAGGGTTGTGGTGTGCATGTTCGTGCATGACATTCACATGAAGGGTTGGGCGCAACAGCACAGCCAGGATGGCGCGCACACAGACACACAGACACACAGACACACAGACACACACACGCACACACACAGACACGCACACGCACACACCGTGAGTTGTTCAAAGGCGCTCTGTTGCGTCCTCAGTTCACTCTTCAATACGCCAATCTACAGCGCAGTACAGAAATTCAGGGAACCAACGAGTGAGCGGGGACAAGCACCAGCGAACACACAAGCACCAGCGAACACATACACACACATCAACACACACACACACACACACACTGTAACCACTACGACGATGACGAGGATGATGATGATGATGACGGTGGTGAGCATCGTCGCACCTCCGTCTGGTACTGCCGCTGCCGTGTGTTGAGTTCCTGATCCCTCGCCGCCACAGCGTCCTTGAGTTGCATCACCTTCTCCTGCAACTCGGCCATCTCCACATCCTTCCGCACACACGCGGCATGATGCTCTTCCTGTAGCGTGGAAAGAGGAGGGGGGCAGTGTGTGAGTATGCATAGATTCTGGGCCACATCCCATCCGCCACCACGACCACCACGACCACCACGACCACCACGACCACCACCACTACCACGACCACGACGGTTACACACCTCCATTGCACGGATCTTGTCCGCGTGCCTCTGTTCGAGCTGTGTGCGGACCGAGGCCTCCTCCTGCGTCTGCTGCTGCTCCCACTGTGCTCGCTCCTGCGTGGTGCAATGGTGTGTGAACGACAGGCAGCGTGGGCAGTTGTGGTGATCCAACAGTCGCCAGTGTAGACATGATCAGAGCCGGTGGAATAGATGAAGCGAGAACGAGAAAGGGTAGACAGACAGACAGGCACGCTTGCACACAGACACACAGAACAGACATGCACACAAGTAGACAGGCACGCTTGCACACAGACAGAGGACAGACAAGATACAGACACTCCAACACATGCATACATGCACAGACAAGAAGGAGCAAAACCTTGCGGAGTGTGTTGATCTGGTGTTTGAGGGCGGTGATCTGAGCACGTGTTTCTTCCTCTACCATCCGCTCCTCGTGTGAGAGCTGCAGCAGCTCAGTCTCATTGTCCTGTTCGCATCACACATAATCCAAGTGAGGGCACGCTCCTATGTACAACGTGGATGACATGCACGTAACATACACACGCATACACACACATACATGCACCCACACATAACCACACGTACACAAACACGCACACGCGCACACGCACACATATACATCACCGCCATGACTGACATACACATACACACACCCCTCCTTCCCCTCCACCACCTCCTCCTCCCCGGCTGTGTGATCACCTGCAACTTCTGCTCTGCATCACGGAGGCGATGGGCCAATCGCTCGTTCTCATCCTTCAACTGCACGTGACCACAAACACACACACATACAGGCGGGGTGTCAGGAACAGACGCCGAGGGAGCATGGTGACAATATCAAGAACTCGACGGACCCAGACACAGACACAGACACACCTGTGTGTTCTCCTCCATGAGCGCGGAAAAATCGGCGCGGGAGACGAGGAACTGATGGCAGTGCAAGATGGTGTGGTCGTGCAGTTGTTGACAAAGTCAGGGGTGCAGGCTCAGATGCGAGCGCACATGGACAGACAGACAGACAGACAGACAGACAGACAGACAGACAGACAGACAGACAGACAGACAGACACACACACACACACACACACACACACACACACACACACACACACACACACACACACACACACACACACGTACATGATACCGCCCCCCCCCACGCACGCAGTGCAAAACATCCGACACCACCTGGTCGTGTGTGTCCATGGGTTGGAGGTCACCGCTGCGTCGTGCCGTCGCCAGCGTTGCAGATGCGCGGCCACTGCGGCTTCCGCTGGTGCTCGAGTGCCGCCCATATGCCGGGCTCACGCCGTGACTGGCACTCCGACGATGGCCTGAGCTGCTGCCACCACCATGGCTTGCATTGAGACTGTCGTACTCGAAGGAGAGGTGCTGAACACTGTCGTCGTCGTCGCCGTCATCGTCACCGCGGCTGTTATGGCCACTGGCAGTCGCGTCCAGCAACACGAGGCCGGCCTCATGTGGCGGTGTATGCACGAATTCGTGCGGTTCTGCTGAGTGGCGAGGCGAATGCAGCTCATGTGCTGCCGGTGACAGTGGCGTTGGGCGGGTGCTCGCGTACTCATCCCCAGCGAGGGGTTGGCTGGGGTCTGCTGCCTGCGATGGTGTGTGCGGGGACGACGGCGACGATAAAGAGGGTGTTGGAGCGGCATCACCGTATTGCTGCGGCTGGTGGTGCTCCTGTGTGTGTTCAGCGCCTGTGGTTGCAGTCGATGTGGAGAGGATGCGCAGCAGGTTCTCATCCAGTCCTTCTAAGGCAGCGGCAAACTGACACGCGTGTAAGGCAAGCGGGTGAGCAACCAACCAGTGTGCAAGCATCAGGTCCAAAGCATAAAAGGATGACAAAGGGCAAACAAGCAGGCAACGCATCAGCCCACCAGGAAGCAACCACACCGACAGACAGGTAGACAGACAGACAGATAGACAGATAGACAGACAGACAGACAGATAGACAGATAGATAGATAGATAGACAGACACACACACACACACGTACACACACGCACACACACACACACGTACACACACGCACACACACTCACATTCGTACACACACACACGCACACACGTACACATCTACCTCTTCAAAGGATACGTGGTCTGCGCCCGGTGCAGCGCCGAGGCGTTGAAGGATTGCCTCTGCTTGTTCCTGAAGCGCGTGGCATGTTGTGAGTGAGTGCATCTCTTGATGCGCAACAGCAGCACTCAGTGAACGAGCAGCAGCAGCGGCACACGTGTCCATGTTCACTGAAACGATGTTGGAAGGCGCATGGCACATCATCAGTTCACCACCACGCGCTCGCTTACTTTGAGGGCTGAGTCTGTGACGTCTGTGGCATCCTCGCTGCTTGCGTGGGCAACCGTTGCTGCGAATGGTGATGTTGATGGCGATGACGGCAGCACACGCATCAGGTCCCGCGTGTTGATCGCCTGCCCATCACCAGACAGGGTGGCAAACACGGATCTCGCAATGCCATCCGCCATCTCCGCTGCTCGGTCATCAGTCAGTTTTTGCGCGCACTGACAGTGATGATGACAAGCAGCACGAAGCTTAAGTAGGTGTGTGTGTGTGTGTGTGTGTGTGTGTGTGTGTGTGTGTGTGTGTGTGTGTGTGTGTGTGTGTGTGTGTGTGTGTGTGTGTGTGTGTGTGCTGCTTCACCTTCTCACTCTGTGCCTTTGTGCATACACACATACACACACATGCACATACACACACGCGCCCTGTCCCTCCCGGTCTCATTTGCAATGCCAATCGTTTCTGCGTTCTCCAACCAGGTCCAACGTGCGTGCGCTTGCGCGGATGCTTCGGATCCTGAACAAGGCCACGACTCAGGCGCGCAGCCCCACACATGCCCACGAGTTGGGGCCTGGCGTAGCCATTGCTGCGCCCTGGCGCCAGCCGTGTGCCTCCCACATGCCACCAGGCACCCGTGTGCACCTCCATCGCCACCTGGAGACGGTGCGGATGGTGGCAACCGCCTTTCCACACGACGGCACCGCTTCGAATACCCCGACCACCCGAGCCACACCAGCAGCATCCTCGCCCCGCACCCGCTAGCGCCGGCACATGCGCGCTGCCATCACCACCAGCAGCGGGCAACACCAGCAACAGCATTCAAGACACCAAGATCATCACTGACAGACAAGAGGAGCCACCGTGAATGAGGTGTTGTTGATGATGATGATGATGCGAAGCATTGTCTTTGGTCAGCAGCAACATGAACGACGGCGCAATGAACCGGAACGCGAACAAGGTGTCAGCAACAGCAAAACAAGGCAGAGTCCTTGGTCACAAACGAGCACGTCTCTTCATCTGATGTGCAACACAGAGATAACAAGCAAGCAAGCAAGCAAGCAACAGCGGCAGAAATTGCAAGAATGGGCACGCCGGCTGAATGGGCACGCCGGCAGCGTGCAGCTGCGACAACTACAGCAACAGGTGCACCAGCGCACATGAACGGGTCAACAGAGCAAGCAATACGGGCAAGCAACAACAGATGATCAAGCAACAACAAGTGGTCAAGCAACAACAAGTGATCAACAGCGACCACAGGAGCGGCAAGGGGAAGTGAGGTCCCGTCTAGGCGGCGCTGTTCCTGTTGGCGAGCTGTGCGCGGGAAATGCTGAGTTGCTCTTCAACAGCGGAGAAGTGTGGCCGCGCGTTTGGATTCTGCTCCATGCAGTCTGCACACAGCGCCTGGTACCACGCAGGCGTATCTGCAGACGGATGTGTTGTGTGTGTGTGTGTGTTGTGTTTGTGTGTTTGCGTGAGTGAGTGAGTGTGTGTGTGTGTGAGTGTGAGTGAGTGAGTGAGTGAGTGAGTGTGTGTGTGTGTGTGAGTGTGTGTGTGCGAGTGCGTGCGTGAATGTGCCTGTGATTGTATTGTGTGCTCGCACACGACGCACATATGTGCAACATGATTGCGTGGTTCATGGCTCGATGAATAAACCGCCGCCCCATCACCACCGTCACACGTGCCAGCGTGCCACATGTCAGCAACCCCAACCTGTGTCATCGGGAAAGCGGAGCCGCTTTCCTTCCTCCAAGAGACTGATGAGTTTGGAGTTGAGGGGCCCACCGAACACGGGGCACTCCTGCTCAATCAGGTCTGGCCGCCGCTGCGTCGCAATCTCCCACAGCAGCACGCCAAAGCTGAACACATCTGCCTTTGCGTCGTTTGCCGTGCCGGCCAGGGCCTCCGGGGCCATGTACGCGGGCGTGCCAACACCGCATGCCATGGACTCTGCCACCACGCTCGCAGAGTACTTTCGGTCGCGCTGCAGCAGTGTCTGCACGTCCATGCCTTTCTGTTGCGACAGCTTCACCGTGCCAAAGTCTGTGATCTTGGCCCGTAGCCTGTCCGTCACCAGCACATTCGCGCTCTTCAAATCCCTACACGAGCCCGGGAAGATGTGTGTGTGTGTGTGTGTGTGTGTGTGTGTGTGTGTGTGTGTGTGTGTTCGTGGGCACGTATACGCATGTATCATGTATGTGCGTGAGCGCAATGCGACAAGATGAGACAAAAAGCTGTCGTAGCTCCACCCATACACAGACACGCACGCACACACACACCAACAGACACCCCAACACAGACACCCCAACACACACACACACACACTCACCTGTGTACGTGGCCGAGGGAGTGAATGAACTTCATGCCATTGGCGACGTCTTGTGCGAGTTGCAGCTTCAGGCCCCACACGGTGGTAGGTCGTGCCGTGGTGTTGCAAAACGCAGTCACGTGCACAAGATCATCCTCCTCTGCAACAGCAATACCCTCGCCGTGCGACCACACGCTGTTGGATCGATGCCGCGTGTTGCTACCACCACCACCATCACCAGCACCACCACCACCACTGTTTCGAGTAGCAGCAGCAGCATCAATCACCACGCGTGTCTCACCGCCTCCAGCACGCTCGCCATCGCCATCCTCGCGGTTGACGAGCAACGGCACCGTGTCTGAGGTGTTGGGCACGCCTCTGCTGTTGCGCCGTGCACCGCCAAGCACCAGGCTGCCAAGGCGTCCAGCAACACTCCCACGCCGTTTCACGCTGCCCCCGCGACCACCACCACCACGACGGCCACTGCGTTCTCTCGCCGCCAGCAGTGCGGCCATATCAGCCTGCAGCAGGTCCTCCAGCGTGCCGCGCGACACAAACTCGAGCACGAGAAAGGGAGCGCCGGAGCCAGGCTTTGTGCCTGCTCCAAAGAAGCGTACGAGATTCGGGTGCCGCGTGCGCTGCAGGAAGTCCAACTCCTTCTCAAAGTCGGCAGCAAAGTCAGGCGCACCCATGTCACCGCCATCACCACCATTGCCACTGGTGTCCGTGCATAGCCCGTTGGATGACTTGAGGATCTTCACGGCAACGTCGATGTTGTCCCAGCGGGCCAGATACACGTCTCCAGTGGCCGTGCCCGCGCTGATGCGTTTCGTGATGTGCAGTTCCTCAAAGCCAATGTACCACGCGCGCTTCAGCTGCATCACCTCCTCGTCCTTTGCCTCCAGCAGCTGTTTCTGCAGGTCGCCGCGCTGCCGCAGCCGCCGCACGGGCTTGTAGTGGCACTCGTACAGCAGCACCAGGAGCCCGTTGGTGGCAACAATGGCGAGCACAATGCCAACAATCGCCTCGGTCGTCAGTGCGGGGTTGGGCCGACACGTGCTGCCGGCCAGGTGGTGGCCTTGGGCGCAATCGCAAGCGAAACTGTACACCAGTGCTGACTGCGCCAGGCTCTGTGCCTCGGTGTTGGTGCGGTTGGTGCTGCGGTGGCTGGTGCCTCCTGCTGGAATGAGCTCGTTCACATTTGTCTCGTCCCACAGCGTGCTGCGGCCGGCGCGCAGCTCCAGGCTGAGCTGGCAGGAGACGGGCATGTTGTCGGTGATGAAGACGGTGATGACGTTTGCGTTGTCGGCGTTGATGCACGCGCCCTGGTCCCTGCCCACCTCCACACTCGGCAGCGCAGCGTTGAGGAGGCTCGGGTCTCGCAAGACCGTGTTGTTGGAGATGTCAAACACCTGCGTGTTGTGCACACAGCGCTCAAGCATGCTGTCCAGCCGTTGCCGCTGGCTGTCTTGTAGCAGCTCGGGCATGGACGCGAGCTCGCGCATGAAAAGCCGCGAGTGGCCAAGCGTGTCGCACAACTCCACCAGGTTGTTGAAGTTTGTGCCGCTGATGTCAAGCGTGAACACCTTGGGCACGTCAATCGTGGTCAGCTTCTGGCACTGGGACACGTTGAGGATGTGGAGGTCTGACGCAATGTGGACGGTTGTCAGCTCTGGGTTGTGGATGATGTACACGTTCTCAAACACAACGTTGTTGCTGCTGCTGTCATTGCTGCTGCTGTCATTGCTGCTGCTCTTGCCCTCACCACCACCACCACCACCACCATCTTCACCACCACCACCATCTTCACCACCATCACCATCTTCACCACCACCACCACCACCAGCGCTGTCATCGTTGTCGCTGTTGTTGCTGTTGGTGGTGCAAAGGTCAACCGTCTTGTGCCGGGTGCCAACCAGCTTGAGCTCGTTTACAACGCCGGTGCTGCTGCTGTCGAAGAGGTGGCACAGGGAGGGGATGGGCAGGGTCTTGTCGTTGAACATGCTGTGGCCAATGTGCAGCTTCATCAGGTGGGCGTCCTTGACGTTGTTGAGCGTGTGCTTCTCAAAGTACATGTTCTCCAGTGTGAGGGCTGTCAGGTTTGGCGCGGACACCTGCTTGTCGATGACGAGGCGCGGGGTGTGCTTGGTGTCAGGGCTTGCGCTCAGCTCCAGCTCGCGAAGTGGCAGCAGGCGCACATCGCTGCCGATGGACACCTCGAGAATCCGGTGGTTGGCCAGGGACAGCACCTCCAAGTTGGACGGCAGGTCTGCAAAGTTGACGGGGTCTGAGATCTTGTTGTTGGCGAGGCTGAGGGTCTTGAGCGATTGCACCAGGGCCTGTTTAGCAGAGGTGAGCTGGTTGTTTGCCAGGCTGAGGGTGGTCAGCTGCTGCATGCGTTTGAACGCGTCGGCCTCAATGTGTGCAATGGCGTTGTTGCTCAGAACCAGCAGCTCCGTGCGGGTGGCGCGGGACAGCGCCTCAGCAGACACTTTGGTGAGGCAATTGTTGGCCAGGTTGAGGTGCGCAAGGTTGCCCAGCGTGCTCAGGAACGCGTCGGGGAGCTGCGTGATTCCGTTGCCGCTCAGGTCAAGCGTGTGCAGGCTGTTGCTGGCTGGTTGCTCTGGAGCAAGCAGTAGCGCCTCGCTTTCGCTTGGGGCACCACCGCCATCCACCGCATCCAGGTTTCTGTTGTGGCTGTTGTGGTTGCTGTCATCTTCGGTGCTGTCTGCCTCCTCAAATTCCTTGAGCGAGAGCGCCTCATTCGAGTGGCGGCAGCCGCCCGCACCAGAGCGGCCTCTGGTTGCACCGTTGATGTTGTTGAGAAGAAGGATTTCCAGCGCGTGCATGGAGCGGACTGGCGCTGGGATGGCGCCGAGTGGGTTCCCGCCGAGGTTGAGCATGGTGAGCCCGGTGACCCCAAGCAGCGCGTTGGACACGCGCGTGAGCAAGTTGTCGGCCAGGTTGAGGGCGGTGAGGGCGGTGAGGTTGCGAAAGTGTGTGTTGGGAATGGCGCTGAGGCTGTTGCCGCTCAGGTCAAGCGAGGTGAGCTGCGTCAGGTTCTTGGGGAAGGGCTCCGTGATGTTGGTGATGCGGTTGGCGCTGAACGTGAACACCTTGAGGCTGACCAAGGGCTCCAGGATGGCTGGCGTCAGCTTGGTGATGCGGTTTCCTGCCAAGGAGAGGTACTGCAGGCGCGAAAGCCCCTTGAGCGTGACGTCCCCTTGTGCAACTTGCTCCAGCCGGTTGTCGGCGAGATCAAGGTGGGTGAGCGCCCCGAGTGGGGCCAGCATGGCGGTATTCAGGCGAGGGAGCCGGTTGCCTGCGAGAACCAGCGTAGACAGGCGAGTGAGGCCGTTGAAGGTGGCGTTGTCCAGGGTCCTCAGGGCATTGGAGGTGAGATCGAGGCGCTCCAGAGCGGTCAGGCCATGTAGCACCGTGGAGGAGAGGCCGGTGAGGCCGCAGCGCACCAGCGTAATGGTGCGGAGGGTGCTATTAAACTGGTGCTCTTCCGCGTGCTGATCTTCGTTTCGCCGCAGGAAGCGGAGGTTGGCGTTGGTGGCGTTCAACACCTCGAGGCTATGAAACTGGCGCAAACTGGCAAAGTGGAAGTCGCTCTTGAGCTCAAAGTCCCGCATCTCAATGCTTTTGACGGAGCGCCATGTGGTTGCATTGAACATGTGGTGGAGGACGTTTGCCTCCAAGGTCGGCAGCTCCAGGGTGTGTTCGATGCGCCTGCCCCTGATGATGAGATGGTTGAGAGAGCCGTTGATGTTCAAGGCCTCAAAGGCCTTGGTCACGTCTGCGGTTGGCGGGCTATCCTCGGGCAGGACGATGGTGAGCGTGGTGACCTTGGGAGGTGTAGCACAAGCCTGATTCAAGACGTCCGTCAGCACGCACTCCGCCACCTGGACGTCACGGGTGTCCTGGTCATTGGTCCTTGAGAGGGGCGACGCCGACTCGCGTCGAATGCGTTCGTGCTGGGGTTGGTCTTGGTGTGAGGGTAGGTAAGGTTGCCGCGGGTCTCCAACTGCGTCATCGGGTTCGCGGGCGGTGACGTTGCTTCGCTGAGTGTCGCCGTTTGCGTCAGCGTTGCTGCTGGTTTTGTGAGCGTCGGTTCGGGTAACGGCGGTTGCAGTGTCGCGCACGTGATCAGACCTGCTGCGGTGGTTGTCGTGGCCGTTATTGTGGTGGTGGTTGTGGTTATTATCAAGACGATCGTCGTGGCCCTTGCTGGCAGTTGAAACAAAGACGGCTTCTTCTCGCTGGTGATGTGACTGTGAGGGTTTCGCGGACAGCAGCCCTTCTCCTTCTTCGCCATCGTCACACAGGAGCGTGACCGCAATCTCCAAGGAATGGGTGGTGGCTGCAGTAGGGAGGTGCTTGCGCGCCGTCTCCAGCTCTCGCCACGCCTGCTGGCACAACTGTGCCTTCAGCGGACAGCCTGTCCACTGCATGGAAAGAGGGGTGTCCGGAGAAGGACCACTGCGCGAAGTGCGCAAGTGTTCTTGTTGTTTTGGTGACTGGTTTGAGTTTGTGCACTGGGAGATGAGGGCACGGGCGCTTGCCTTAGCTTTGGCGGAGCCCGCGGGTGCCACCCATTGCTGCTGCTGCTGCTGATGTGGCAGTAGAGACGTTGTCACTGCATCCTGCGCAGCAGATACACCCAAGCAAAAAGAAAGCACAACAACAACGACAACAGGACACGACAACCCATCTCCGGTGTTGTGGAGTTGCCTGCAGGCTCCCTGTGCTTTTTGTGCGCGTCGAAAATTAACTAAAGGTTTCCACCAATCGCCATTTGACGGCAAACGTTTGCACGAGAGAAGGAAGGAAGATGGCGACGAAGACAGCAGAGGTCAGTGGCGTGGTGCTCGTGTGTGTGTGTGTGTGTGTGTGTGTGTGTGTGTGTGTGTGTGTGTGTGTGTGTGTGTGTAACTTGCGTTGGTTGCCCGAACCGGGATTACTTGAGATGCTTTTGTGCTTTCCCCGGACTTGGACAACGATTGGACCCAGACATGGGGGGTGGCGGAGTAAACTGTAAGGAAAGAGGTGATCTCTATAAGGGAGCATCGTCAGGGTAGCCTGATATAATGTTTGCGCATGAGTGACAACGTGTCTTCTTTTTATTCTTTTTTATGTTTTATTT